GAAACATTTGTAATCTTTTTGGAAACTATACTCTAGCGATCACATGCATATACAACTGAGCGAGCTCAATTCCCGAACCATCCGTCACTTTCACTGCCGAGGAGTGCTGCATGCGGTTTCATTAGATTGCGCGGTAAGAACCAAAAGACAGTCCCCATGTATTTATACCACAAATGGGGAATTATTCTGATAACGATCTCTGTAACCCCTGTGAACCTCGTAAATTATTGACGGATAACGAAAAACGAAAAAGTTTAAACTTTAAAATATAATAGTTAATATGCGATGCGGGGCTGCCCACTAGTGTGCAAAGCAGAGGAAACCACAAGCAGTTACTTAAAACCATGCTTATGTTGTAGAATAAACACAAATGAACAACAAACCTCACTAGCGATGTACTTGAAAGTGATTAGAGCGTGCTCTTCCGAAGTATATGGCAAGTCGTCGTCGATATAACCCGCATGATCGCCCTGACCTTGTTGCTCACTTGTTCGGAGTTTATCATCTCGATTTGATGGACCAGCAACATCCATCAAACCACTCGATGAATTCCGACAGTGAAGCCTAGAAAGGTGATCGGAAGTTTTAAGAGCGAAGCTTCACATTACAGTAATTTCATAAGTGGCGTTGGAGCGCATTAACTCAAATGGCCGGAGTTTTCCGTAATACCTGTGTACCTTATCGTATTGCTCAAGCTGTTCATTCTCACACGAGTTGTTGAGTAGAGAATCGGGATTTACTGAATCATATCCTTTTACAGATCTGGTCCCAATCCATCCCAAATTTTTGGTTTGAAAGATTTTCGGGGCGAGTTTGGTCTATCCGGTCTATTAGTAGTCTAATGATAGTCTATTGGTAGTCCCCTGCCTTCAGAGCCGCAAAATCAATCTTTTTCATGGCATCAAGTAATGGGAGATAATCTATTCAGTATTTTGAGCTGTAAAGTTCCAATGGCATAACATTTGTTTTCAGTCGATTGTTGCTTGTTTGTTTTTTTTTGTTGCAGTCGCTCAGACAGATGTTTATCATAGCGTTGAGTTATCGGAAGATTTTTGGACTTGGAATACGGACCAAAAGTTAAGTAGTGATGTAAATACTCTTATATTTACTAAGGAAAGTTCTCATTTTGTCCAGGACGCCCTACATACATCGAGAAGCTTCAGCAAATAGAGTATGATACTGATATTCTCTGAATTTCTGCAATTTTATAGCGTTCGTTTCCTTTGGCCGACGTCGTTTCTCCTCCATTCCAAGAGCCCAGCTATGGCATGTTCCACTTTCTATGTTGTTTGGGACAACATAAAGTTACACAGAATCTTTAAGAACTACAATTGGCTTCAGTTTGAGTCCTAGGGATGAGATGAGAGAGGTCTCCACCTAGTAGTCCGTGGTCCACCTTGAAATAACCTTCGTCCGTACCCCGCTCCATGGATGGTCATTTCGGGAACAATGGAAAAAGATGAAAATTTAGCCAATTACTGTTACGGTCAATTTTGCTCATTTTCACTGAAAATCTCTCTGTTTGTCATGCTGAGTCAACTACTGGCTCTATAGTACTCTGTTCACTGTACTCTGTTCAAATAATTTCCATGTAATAGTTACTGCAATCAACAATTCTTGCTTTTGTGAGGTTAGGAAGGAGAAAGGGGATGCTGTTTGTCCGAGTTTGAAGCAAAGACCTATTTGTGAACCCAAAGTATGTTCTGGTTATGGGCGCAACCCTCACCTGACTGATGCTACCTCCACCTACCTGTTCCTTGAAACGGAACTCTTACTCTTATACAGGTCACTAGATAACCTCGACATTTGGGCAAGATAGGTAGAACTCTAATCTTGAACGCACAAATAAAATCTGCTACCGTCTCTTTCTCGAAGGCAAACAACAGCTGGTTGAGTCTGAAGAAGGAGTTGTATGCTCCGCGTCTTCCTAGACCTCAGATCTCTCTCCCCTCGAGCCCAGTGAACCCAAACTTGATGAAAGTCTTAATGGGGTTTTTGTTGACATTGCTGCATACCCAATACGGTTCCAACTGTCTGGCCATGCCGAGTGAGGGTTGACAACGTGGCGCATTCATGATTGTTGACTCCACAAATTTCTCTCAGATTTCTCAGTAAAGGATCCCTATCCAATTCATCGCGAGAGATTGGTAGATTGAGTATCACTGGGAATGTAATTCTGGTTGGCGAGCAGCAAAGCGATGGCTTGGAGGCTAAACGGCTCGCTGTAATACTCCCCCGCGGCTGTGTGGTTGTATGGCGGCTCGCCTCCTCGAGCGCCTGCCTCTGAGCTCCACCCATTCAAAGCAGTCGCCTTTGCTTCCCTAGCACAAGATGGTAAGCTTTCAGAGATTTTTGGATTTTCCATTAATTACCTAATGAAGGCTTTGATAGATCCTCGATATCATAACGCTTTCATTACTGTTTATTGGCATTTCTGATGAATTACCCAGCTTTCTGGTCTCCCCTGAAGCCGCCGGCTCTGTTGTAGCTCTTCAGATACCTCTTCAGAACAACACGACTTATCCTTCCTTCCACAGTCCCCTGAGGAGATGGGCCCCTAACCATTTCCTCTGACCCTCATCTAACTCCAAAGTGTTCTGCTCCAGTAAGGCCCTAGATAACCTTAAGCTCGGAAGAACCAGCATTTTCCTAAACGATGGTTCTTTTTAGCTCCAACCCAGAAGGAACAGAACTTTCTGCGAATTCCAAAGCACTTTTGAGGATTTCTCGGGCCTAAGGCCGCTTTGCATGTGTAAAGCAGATGGTTCAGTTTCGCTCAGCCAGGCAATTCTCGTTGTAATATCGAGTAGGCGGCATTGTTTCTCTGAACATTTCCGAGTGGGGAAATCAATAACGATCAATATTTGTAAGATATATTTGAAGAGATCCACTCATAAGTTCCTTAGCGGATGCGACTTTCTTGTCCATAGTCCTTGAGGTACCGTATTTCAGTAGCAACCAGCTAAATACCGTGGTTTAAGCAATCTCAAACGTCAAAAATCAATCGATTTATTGATCTAGAAGCATTGCGTAAAAAAAGACTTCATTATTAATATCTCCATCGAAATTGAAGTACCAATCGATATATCAATCAATAAAAATCCTTCAATTTCAGGCTGAAGATATCGAAGAGATCTTGGCTGAAATTGACGGCGAACAAATCGAAGGTAGGTTGTGATTCGTTGTTATAGAGCATCCGGTGCCACTTCATTAACTAATCGATAAAATCAATAGACATATCACTGTAACTAAATCTGAAGTAAAAATTTCCAGAATACCAGAAGTTCTTCGATGACTTCGACCGCGGAAAGCAGGGCTACATCATGGCCACCCAAATCGGCCAGATTATGCGCGCTATGGAGCAGGAATTCGATGAGAAGGTGAGAACAGAAGACCCTTGACGGGCGTCCAACTTACTGCTAGATAGTAGTTGGACGGTTTGGTACACCAATAATGAGGATGTGTTACATTGGGTCTGAACTTTGACGAATTTCCTGAGTATCATTTACTTTGACGAAGCTTCATCGACTGTTCCGTAAATGTCACTGTAGGAGTTGTAGGATATCGGATTGACAGAATGAGACATTTTCCATTTCAGACTCTCCGTAAGTTGATCCGCAAATTCGATGCTGATGGATCTGGAAAGCTGGAATTCGACGAATTCTGTGCATTGGTCTACACTGTCGCTAACACCGTCGACAAGGATACACTCCAAAAAGAACTGAGGGATGCATTCCGACTTTTCGACAAAGAGGTTCGTTACGAAGCGGCAAAGCGAAGGCGAACCTCCTACCTACTTGTAAGAGACGTTAGTCTAGAAGGTAGACGTGCCCCGCAGTAAGACCATTGGGAGTAAGAGAGCCCTCTTGAAAGTTTCGTGGGCACTGCCACTTAGAAAACTGAAACTCGTTTGTAAAATTGAGAGTATATTTGACAGCCTGGTCCTCTAGTATCAGCAGCTCCTTTGGTAGGGGAAGCGACCCACTACAACTACTTCAGAAGAACCGAATGGAGAACTCGCCTAACCGACTTGGACGTAATTATGCAGCCCGAAAAACTCGTCCATTAGGAAATCACCGGAGAGATCTGAAATACCCTCACATAATCAAAGGCGTAAAATTCAATATCCTGTAACCTGGCCCCCAGAGTCGAAAAATAAAGCACAACTATGTCAAGCATCGCTGCCAGCTACACAGCAGCTGTTGACGGCTGTTTCAACCTCCCACGTGAAAATGAGGCCCGTGGACAAGCATTCCATGAATTAGCACGTGATTCTTGAATTCATCATCTGGGAAGATGTATTTTGACCTGACCATCCATAAGTCTGACTTTTTTCAGGGTAACGGATACATTTCTCGGCCGACACTGAAGGCTTTGTTGCACGAAATCGCCGACGATCTGACTGACCAACAACTAGAGGAGGCTGTAGATGAGATCGATGAAGACGGTTCAGGAAAGATCGAATTTGAAGGTACTTGGCTTAACCCAGAATTGAGCCACGAGCCCCATACCATGCTAGGTCCAATTCCACCTTCAAACCGAAAACCATGTCGTTTCAGAGTTCTGGGAGTTGATGGCCGGAGAGTCCGATTAAACACACGTGTAAATATCCATTGGATTGTCGTTTGTAAGTTATTCACACTANATTTTTCGTTTCAGCCCCGCCTAGCAACCGGTGCCACGCTCCAACAGCCGGAACACTAGTTGTTTTCCATTGATAACACGTTTCCTGTCGTTTTTTTCTTTTGAAATTCAAAAGTGCAAATAAATTTTTATTTCCAAATCCGCGTATATCGCACACGTTTCATTGAGCAGGAACAGTAGACGACGACGTTGTAGAGAAGATAGGTATCGATCGGCGCTGTCATAGTGTTGTTCCAAGAAGAGAATGATCTCTGCGGAGAACATAACCCGACTGGCTGGCTGAGTACCATAGGACTCAGCATCAGCTGTGCGGGCATAGTTCCACAAGTGGAAATCTTCCCTAGGGAATGTATTGGCTAAGAGCTATCTTCCCATGGTTCATGTACTACAACACTTGGCGCTTCTTCATCTGAGAAGATACCATCGCTCGTCTTCTGACTCCTGAAATATGAAGTTGTTAGTGAGTGGCATCATAACCAACACAAATTCCAATAAGTAAGTATGAGCAGTAAACAACAATTTAGTAAACAAACACGTGGCCAGGTCGATTCCTAGGATGTTACATGAGCATATATAGCTATTCCAAGGCAGTAGGCAGCGAATGGCTTTCAAAGAGAATTTGCCAATCAAATTATCTATATGGACTGCCTTTTTGGCTCGATTGGTTTCGAANAAAAAAAACGTAGTGGATCTGAAGGGGGTCGTGATCAAGAGCAAAATAGACGTGAAGCAGAGGTTGGCTACGAGAGGAAGGCTGAATGGAGCCCTCCACAGGAAACCACTAGGCCTATTAACTGAAAAGCCTTAGTAGGGGAGTTCTTTCAGCGCTTACCGAAACCTCTGAGCTTCGGTACATTTCTCAACGGGACCACAGCATGTGCCCTACCAGATCATCTTCGGCAGCAAGTAGTAACTCATAACGATAGATCTCTTGCCAATTGCATCGCATAGCGAGCTGCAATACTACGATAGAAACATGCCCGAACTAGGACTCGAGCATGTTTCTACCGTAGTATTCCACATGGTAAGCATGACACTTCTTACTTAGTAATGATAGCTGTCGAAAGACGGCCGCTCGTTCCGCTCTCACAGCAGTGAAGTGATGGCTTTACTCCGCTGAATCTGGGATTTTCTGTCCTCTTTGGATTTCGTCAAAAGCACTTATCAGTGAAAGAAGTGGAAATTTAGAATGGGGACCCGGTCATTACAGTAATCCCGCTGTTCGTCATGTCTCGGAAAGCTACGCGAGGTGCAACAACAGCCAAGTGATTACCCTACACGAGCCGCGTATGTCCATGCCAGCCATGCCAGAGGTTCTTTCCTATGCATCGTATATGTGACGAGATTAGTATTTTGCATAATATATGTGATGAGACTAGTATTTTTTTCTGAATAGGATTACGTCACGGAATGGCATGGGATGGGTATGTGAAACCCTGCGCCCATTGCATTTTACCCTTCTTGAAGTCCCGATAGGAAGCGGGTTCCCGTACTAGATTTTCGTTCAATGGGACGGATTTGATAGTTCAGCGGGTTCCACCTAACTTTTGAGCAACATTTAGGAATCTGATCGTGGAAGAGACATATTTTTGGTATCAAAAGAAGAAATAATTCAAGCTCGTCTGTGAAAAAAAAATTCAGTAAAAATAAGATATAGCAAATAAAGAAGTGTAAACGACAGTACTTGTCCATATCCTTCATATCTTGTGAAATTGAAAATGACGATGAATCAAGTCGATGTCGACGACAAATTGATGCAGGCTGATAGCGAGTCTAAAAAATTTGTCATTTGTAAATCCCCTAAAAAGTAAACAAACAAGTTGTTATATCCAAAGCATCCAAATCAATGCCGAAAAGCAGTGATATGCCCCTGACAACTCTGAAAAATTGATAGGAAATCCCGTGATACTTAATTTTTAAGGTAAGCTGAATGCAATGGGTTTAGGTGGACAAACCATATATGGTGTGAGGAAGAAACACTGCTGGAACAAAAGGGTTAAGTTGTAGTCTCTTAGAGGCACAGTTCACGATAATTTTAGGTAATCCAGATTATGATGAAATGTGGAAGACAAGATCGAAACTAGTGCGACTGAGGTGAAGAAACTGCGTGCATCGGTGTTTCCAAAGTGAAAAAATGCTTCGAAAAACCGTGAAAAAGGGGGCTGGACAAGAATGAAACAAGAAAAATGAGGAAGAGTGGGGCGTCCGGACGAGCTAAACAGTGTG